TATATTAATATATAATATATTAAAAATAATATATTAAAAACATTATTATACAGAAAAATGTTTAAAATATTATTTTTGAAATTATTGTAGAAGCAGAACAATATCAACATCCAGAGTCAGGATAGTACCTAAAACAAAGGGCAAAAAGAAAAAAAAGAGAAAACGTATAATAGAATCTGATAATCAGAGCGAAAATGATGAAGAAGATGAGCCGAAAATTGAAGCACAATGTGAACCTAATTTACAAGATTTCAATACCACTCTAAATGAGATAATGGACGTTAATAAACCAGAAAATTTTGAAACTTCTTTAGGTGAAGGCAATGTTGAAATAAAAGATGATAGATTACAAGAAGAATCAACAGCTGCAGCAACAGCAGCAGCAACAGCAACTGCTGCTGCTTCAGATGTCCCGATTCCACAAATTCAGCAGCCGTCAGAAATAGTACCGATTCAAAAAATCAAAAAGGTAAGTACATTTTAATTAACTCTTGTTACAAAAGTTTAATATTTAATGTTATTTTTTAGGACATTGTGCCTAAACCGAAAAAAGCTCCTGGTATTAGACGAAAAGTATGTATATTTCATATCTTTATTTAACGATTGATTATGAACGGAGTTGATGAATAACGTTACTTGTAACGTCATTAGCATTACAAATTACTTTTTTCGGTATCGAATGGATAACGACGTTACATTTTCTTCTGAGTAATGCAGTTATATTTGTTGTTGAAAAAAGTAACTAATGAAATCATTACTATTACCTTTCTTTTACCTCTCTTTTAGTAGAGAAATAAAGCTCAAAAACTAATAAATGCGTGCGTGCATGCGTGCGTGTGTACATTTATTAGTTTTTGAGCTTTATTCCTCTACTCTAAAAGAGAGGAAAAAGAAAGACAATAGTAATTTTATATATCAATTTTTGAGCTTTATTCTTTTTCTTCAGTTTTTATTCTTTATTCTTCTACTAAAAGAGAATTTTGATATCTTTTTTATATTTATCGCAAAAATCTGCATATAATAACGTTTTTCATTGACAAAGTTAGTGCGCACTCAGTGCACTTTAAAGCCGTTGTAACACAAATTGACGTAAAGATGTCTATTTAATAAAAATTTAGAAATGAGTTAAATCGCGAAATCTTCAATACATTTTATTACGCTAAAATTTTTATTACGCTTTGATAAAATATACTTTAAACGTTTTATCAATCGAGATATCTCATTTTTACATTCAGATTAGAATAGTGTACAATACACTAACAGTTTTAATGTGCGCTGAGTGTGCACAAGTTTTGTCAATTAAAAACACTATATATAATATTTTATTATAGCGTTTTTGGCCCGACCGAGTTTGTACTAACTTGGGTTAAAAAATGTTTTGCTATTGATTGACGTTACATGCTCTACCAATAGGAGAGCACGAAACATTACTTCAACCTAGGTTAGTGCAAACTTCGGGCCAAAGACGCTATTAGTATCAAGAAAAAAAATTAACGAAAAAGTAATGACTCGTTATATTTTGAGTAACGGTAACGAATTACTTTTGCAAATCAATCAAGTAACAATAACGAGTTGCTTTTTAGGAAAAAAAACGGTAACGATATTTTTATGAGATATTGTTGCTAATCTTGATTATAGGTATCCATTTTCAAACAATATTAATTTTATCAAATTTTATTCTTTACAGATTATTTATGGTGGACTTCCAGACGAAAACAAACGAGAAGAAGAAGAAATATTAGGCAGACGGACTCGAGGACGAAAGATCAATTATCGAGAAGAAATGGCGTCAGATAGTGAGGAGGTGTGTGACTTTTAACTTTAACGAAATTATCATGTGTATCCAAATCCTGATTATTTTACAGGAACTGAAAAAAGCATTGATGATGAGAAAGACTGGTGAAAGCGAAGATGAGTATGTAATGAATGAGGCTGATGATATGAATGATGATGGAGAAAAGGATTCTGATTCAGGTAACATAACATCTTTATATTTTTATAAAATAATTTTTATAATATAATATTCAAATAAATCGTAATATAATCAAAGCAGAAGCAATTTTTTATATAAAATAAGTAAAAAATAAAATAAGATATTTAACAAATTTTACAGAAGAAAAATTTAATAATAATAGATTACGAACTAAGTGATTATTGCTAAAATTTATATGAAAAATTTGATAAACAATTAAACATACTCTGAATAATAAGAATAATCAGATTATTATCAATGTTAACAAAAATTTATTATTTTGTACGTAATTTTGTATATAACAAATATCGAATGACAGTTAAAAACAATATGAAATTTTCAATAAGAATGTAATGTAATTACACAATTAAGAAATAAGAATAATGGTCAAACTAAATCTTCGATGAAATAATTCTGTGTAAATTTATATAGGATGTATCTAAAATAAGTATAAAATAATTTTAAGATATTTTTCAGTGTTCTTTGTGAAATATTTTGAAGATATTTCTTAAAGATATCTTAAAGAGTTGTCTTTAAGAAATATCTTATATGTTATGTCTTATATATCGATTTTAGACATTTTACTCATTGGGTAACTAAAAAAGAATATTGCAGAAATTACAAAATGATAGAGGACTTATCGACTCAGTTTTTTATTAGAAATCGCATTGTATGGTAATGGGCATTATTTCAGATATATCCTGTATACTACATATATGTAGTCCTTAAACTATAATTGTATATATACTATAATTATACAACTATAATTGTATATAAATAAATCGTAATATAATCAAAGCGTCTTAAGCCTTTAGACCAAGGCCTTAATTTAATAAGATTCTTTGCAATGACTTATATATTTAGACGTACGTATACTAAAGATCACGTGTACATTAAATTATTAAACATTAAATTATTAAACATTAAATTATTAAATCGCTTGTCAATTTAATTTGTGATACTACAGTTTAATCGGCTTGCGTCAAGACCGAAAACAATTTCGGAATGCAGTTTAAAAAGGCTTACATATATGTAGTATATAAATTCATGTTTTAGAATTATTTCAGCATTAAAAATTTAGCTTGATTGTTTAGGGTCCTTATTTCCTGATAATTAAAAATATATTAAAAGGTAAGACTGTATGAATTGAACAAACAGTTTCCTATTCTAAACCTATTATCTTTTAATTTTTTTTCTTTCCTTGTCTCTCAACTTATGACCATCCTTACCTTTTTATCTCCTTATATAATTCATTTCATTTGATAATGGCAAAATTGTCTCAGAAATTGTAAATTTTATAAATTTGAATTGAATTATGCTTCTCCTTAAATAGTTTGACAGTTTATTTTTTATATTCTTTAATTAAGATGTTTTATCTTTTTTATGTAAATAAATATCCAGTTGTCTCCAAAACATATTTCAATTATAACTGAAATTAATTATAAATTGATTAAAAGAGGAATATAATTTTATTCATTTTATACATTGACAAGAATATAAGCAAGTATAATAGCTATGTGTAAATTAAATAAGGTGCATTATCCATGCATTTGCATATAATTATTATACTCTTGTTAACTTTCTATTGTGACTTACGTTTGACATATAATAACGGTTCACTAAGATTTTAGAGCGATTTAATAATGATTTAATTTTTATATTTTAATGATTTAATTTTTATATTTAACTGCCATTCGATATTGGTATTATACAACGTACAACTCATTTTTTAAATTACAAAAGAGATTATTTCTGAAAATTATTATAATTTATTAAATATTTCATCTAATGTACAAATATAAATAATAATGATTATACAATTATAGATATTAATTGATGTTTTAGGAGATAATTATATTCCTAAGAAGGATGCCCTAAAATTTAAGAAGTCATTGAAGACAAAGAAATCACGTAATAGTAAAAGCCCTGCAGCAAAACGTAAGTCATTATCTGATGACGTACCGAAGCAAAGAAAGAAACCTGGACCGAAGCCAGGAAGCAAGAACAGAGGACGTAAGCAAAAGTTGAAGGATGACATGGATGGAGACATGATTGGCGCAGTTATGGACAATCCTATTGGTGACATAGCATCTAAAATTGATGAGAATCTTCCAGATAATGTAGGACTGGCAGGCACGACGATGTCAGTAGCAAGTTCATTTACCGGAGATGTTCCTGAAGGTTCATTAACAGGTCTTGGTGCCGGAGAGCTGGCTGATCTAGATGATGAGCAGCTCGAGCAGATGATGATGGATGAAGAGTACGGACGTCGACAGTTGGAGCTAGCGGCAATCGAAATAGCAAAAAAGAAGAAAAAGGAGGAACGAGAAGCTAAGAAGTTGGAAAAAGCCCGTTTGAAGGCTCTAGAGATACTGGCGGCAGAGAGGCAGAGAGATCCCAACGCACCCGAAGGAACGGATGGTGAGGTGCCCAAGAAAAAGAAGCGTGGACGTCGCAGCAAAGCCGAGATCCTTGCTGAACAGATGCGCAGAGATGGTGCATCAAATCTGGGCATCGCGCCGGCTTCGGCCATCGGTGGAGTTGGCACGCCGGATGGCGTGAGTAATATGTCACACAACATGAATCCTGGTACCTTATCTACGGGTCTGACGTCAGAAACAGATAGGAGTATTGAAGGAGGACACATGTCTCTTATGACTGGACCGGATGGACAACTTTTCAATCCGGATGGCACTCCAGTGAAGCCGAAACGACGAGGTCGTGGTAAAGGCAAGAAGACTCTTGCAATGGAAGCGGCTAGAGCCGCGGAAGCGGCAGCTAAAGCCGCGGCCGAAGTTGGTTTGATCGGCATGGGTACTGACTCGAATTCAGACATGAAACAGAATGATATACCAAACGTTCTTCCTACGCCAGGTAGTAGTACATCTGGTTCGGCGCCCTCCACACCACCAGCGAGTACCGTACCTACACCAGGCCCTCCATCAACACAGTCGCCAAATTCGCAGCCAGTTTATCCATCGCTACCCGGTCAACAGTCTTCCGTCATCACAAGAATGCTTCAGTCCCAACCGGTTTCCAGCACTCCACAGTCATTCACCGCGGCGGCGGCAGCGATGGGCCACAAATATTTCGGTGGACCCAACGCTGGTGGACAGATAATGGGCGGTCCACGAACGGGATACGAGATGCAACCACGTGCCAGGATCCCATCCCCTTATAGACAGGCAGGTCAATCATCTATACCACCGCATTTTGCCGCGGTCAGATCGGGCACGCCACCAATGCGTATGCGAGTACCCGGGCCGCAAATGTATCATACGCCACACCATCCAATGGACCCATCCCCATCGGGTGGTGGACCGATTTCCATTACCAATAGAGATCGCAGTTCGCCCTTGACGCCCGGCGGACCGGCGATGATTCCACCGTCAGCTGGTAGCCCACTGGCCAAGGGTGGTCCAACGCCGCCACCGCCACCCCCACCATATGTGCGGAGTGGTCCACCAATGGCTAGGTTTGCCGAGAATCCTATGGGACCCAGGCATCAGATGCCGCCGTTTACTAATGCCTCGCCTGTAAATCACAATATGCAGCAACCTTCACCACCTCCCAATCGACCGCCCGGTAATTTTTCACCGTATCATCCGCCTCCGCCACCCAATTATCACTACGGTGCCTATCCGCCACCTCCGCCAATGTCTACAGCGGATGATGCAGCTGCCTACCAGAGTTCACCGTATCCTTCGGAACATTTCTCCTCGCCGGCAGACAACCAACCATCGATTCAAGGACCGCCTCAGGCGCCACCGCAACAATCGCATCCGAATGATGAAGACCATGGGACCGGCGAATTTGGCGGCTTGGTATCTTACTTTAGTAGCCAGAGAGAGGACGATCTCGATTCGTAGCATGAGTGAGAGCTTGGCCAACCCTAAATCATTAGGTAGGGGGAGCGTGCCCAGGTAAGATCGCAACTTTTGCTGCAGAGGGAAAAGTGGTAACGTAGACGCACGAAATAGAACACGAACTTTGGATAATCTAACTTTTCAAGGATATTAGTGCGTATATCACGTGGAAATAAAAAACTATAGAGTCTTCCTCTTCGACCTCTAAAGCAAACAGTTGTCCTGTAATCCTTGCACTTCTTACGCCGCCAGAGGCAAATCTAAGGTTGGCCAAGTGTAGAGCGAATGGAATCATAGTAACATGGCGGAGCCTATTTTTTAAGAGTTGTAAGTTTTTCTGTAATTAGTTTTCAGTTTAATTGGATTTGTATGCAACGACGTATGATCGTAAAAACTTTAAATGAAGACATAACGGTCGTTTCGTCTATGATAAGGTGAAAGATCTGACCAGAACCATTTTTTACCATTATTCATTATAATCCGCTGAAAATTCAAAGTTGAATGAAGTTATTTCCAGAAAGTTTTAGGGTGAGAATGAAATATTCATTCTTCGCGAAATAGTAGTGTGTCCTGTGAAAGAAGAAAAAAATGATAAATTGATCATTAATAATGACAAGAAAGGAATAAAAATTATCGAGTGATTTTGAACGACATCGTTATTAACATGTACATATTGTAAATATTCCATAAATCCTTTAGATTATGTATTACATGTATTATATATACACACAACACATGCAGTCATGCAGAATACTACAAAAATTAGTGCGGAAAGGGCACAAATGTAATATTTAAATTTAATTCAAAAGAATGACATCTGAATATTATAAATTAACAAACAGTGTGACTATTACTATAATTATTTATAAAGAAAAAGATTAAGAATTTATAATAGGCAGTATATTGTATTTTACAAATTTTACTTGATAATTCTATGAGAAATCATTAATATAGTTATATTGAAGAACAGGAGGCTGCTTTAAATGTATCCTATGTGAAAAATAAACAGAATGGATTTTAACAAAATCAGCTGTTAGCGTAATTGGCGATGCATGAAGAAATTTTATAATGTCATGGCATGCATTATTTACATAATCCTACGTCTGTATGATTTTGATTCAGACATGTGCAAATATTTTATGTATATCGTGCCGTCTTTCAATAAAAAAAATAGAATTATACATATTATTTATATAATAACATAAATTACGTATAATTATATAATTTGGAATAATTATATGTTTTGAAGTAATTTTAATTTAAAAATAGTTTATATTATCGGCGTGTATGATGCGTAATTTAAAGGACAACTAACTCGTTCGCACTACCTGGTGTTTCTTTCTGCACTCCCACTTTGTCAGTATCTATATCCTTATCTATGATATTTACATTAAGTGTTGTATATGGTCTATCTGGATTTCGTCCAACGTAAAAACTACTTTCATCGACGTATGATGTAGATAGAATGGTCGGTCGATATAAATGTGTGTTCGAAAGGTATTTTGAAAAAGTGACTATCAAAAATCTTTTTTGGATCGATTTGACCAACATTAATTAATTTTAATGTTAGTCAATTCTGATTCTTTCTAATAGCAAAAAAAGATACGTAACTAATTAAAATTTGATGTATTTTCGATCTTTATATTACGCGAATAATCATATTAAGGCCAAGTATGAATATCGATCAATTTTGAGTGCAGGAAGGAAATCGAGATAGATTAAAATGTCCACTGGACAAATGTACTGGTGGCTGGTAGTAAACTTCGCTGAACGCGAAGTTTAAGTTTCAATTTTTCGAATGTTATAGATGATCATGACAGCCTCCTGCTCTTTGAAGTTAAGGCCGCTAGTGGCCGCATGCGATGGAAGAAGAAGAAATCATGTATCTGTTTAGTTATCACACGTACATGCATACCTAATATAAATAGAAGCTATATGAATAAACAAGAAAAGGATATTACATTATCTTAGGATTAGCTTGCTTGGGAGAGTTTCCTTTACTACGTTGAACGTTTTACGACCGAATCGAACGGTTACACACATATACACGTATGAAACACCCACAGACATGTACACAGACTCTACATGCAGTATAATGTAATAGAGGATTTATTACCACTAATTTTATTATTTTTACACCTATTACGATGTATATCGATTGTACGCAGTTTGATGTACAATCACTATTGTCTTCTTCTTTAGGCACAGCATGTCTTTGAGGCCGCTGGTTCTTAGGCTGCGCCTCGAGGAACCAACTCTATCATGAAAGCGATTATTGCTATCTTCTTTTTCTTTAACGTGCAATCGAGCAAGAGTGATTAATCTGCGATCTTATATATTGATGATGATTCATAATCATAAAGATGTATTTGATTCAAATCGGAAATTGTATATTCAGTGAGATTCTTTTTTGATCGACGACCTTCTATTATATGTGCATCAATTATGAGCAATTAATTAGGAGCGATGGTTATTTAAAAATTTGACTGATTCAGCGCACTAGCGACCTGTATTTTTAAAAAATTAATATTAATCTGAGAATTGAGAAAGTGAAATTTGTATTTTCTCGAATTTTCAAAGAAATGTATCGAGCTCGCTGGTGCGCTGAATCGTTCTTTGTATTGTCAAGCGTATTGTTCAGCTAAGATGAAGATACCAGTAAAGATCATTGATAGTACAGAATATCTTTATAAGTACATATAGATATATATTAAAATATATTCAATTCAGAGATTTCGCACATTTTCTAAATCTATGTTTTTTTATGCGTGACATTGCATTTAGCGAAATATTCTCTCACATTGACATATAAATTTATATATAAATGATATATTTCGAACGTATTTCGATACATAATAGTTGCTAACAGTTGCTAAGAAAATTGAGTATTATAAAATGCGACATAAATAATTTGTTTTTAAATTTGCATAAAAATATTGGAAATATTATCATATGGTTACTTCTCGTTATCTTCATAGTTTTTTTCCTCGAGGCGTAAATTAGCAAAGTGGCTCGATAAGACAATAGTAAACATGGTGCAGTTTAGCTTTTTCTTTTGATAAGGGTCTAGACCAAACGCAATTATATTACATGTTGTAGCCTAAATAAAAGAATTTTCTAATAAAATTCAATATATTGAAATAATATTGTCAAATCTTTTTACTTTTCTTTCGTTTTTATTTTCTAATCCTTCGCCTCGTCTTATTATATTTTTATAAAATATAAAATAGAATTTTTAATAAAAGTATATCTTTTAAAAAAGATACGCTAAATAATATATACATAAATATATTCATAAATATGCAATGAATATTTAAAAAAAACTTATATTTATACACATCAAATTTCTGTTTCTTTATGATTCTGTTGATTATTTTAATCATTTTAAACTCGCGATTTAAAATTTACATAAAAAGATAATAAATACGTGTAATATAAAATATATCGTTAAAGATATATATTTTTAAATATATTTATTGAATCGTTATTGCATATAATTTTTGGATGCATTAAACGTTTATTATATAAACGTTAGGCAATTGCACTAATATCAATTATATATATTTTTATAGGAATAGAATTTTTTAAGACTTTTTTTGTATGATATATACAATACTTAGCTAATTATATTGATCTTATACTCATTTTTTATTTGTACTTATTTTTGTACTCATTTTTAAATTAACTTTTGAATAAATATAAGTTTTTTTAATACTTATTGCATATTTGGAATGTATTTATGTAGAATAGAGTTGGCTAAGTCGTATCGATCTAAACGAAACATTTTCTTCTTAAAGATGACACAGATGTGACGATAATAACATGACTCAAGTACTGTCATTTTTGTTTTGTCTTCAAGCGATCCGTTTATGATAATATTCAAAATTTATTTTGTTCGGTATTTGATCTAAGTTTTTTTGTACAATTTAAGATGTTATCAGTATAAGGTGAGTAATTGAATTATAGTGTATTATAACTATATATAATTGATATTTAAATATAATCTCTTTTCGAATATAGTATTATTAATTTTAACAAAATATTTTTGTAAGTTATGTTATTGGCAAATTCATAAAACTACAGATAGTTGGATAAAGCGTATTTGTTGCTAGTCTTTATATTGTACTTACATTTAAAATAAAATAAGATATTAAAATTGAGTAATTGAATAATATTTTTGTAATTATTATATCTTGATATTTGTATATAAGAAAAAATATGTTTGTATTGAGTGTTTTTTTAAAACAATTACTCAAAGTTATTTATAAATATTATTTGTTGGATTTAAAATTTAAAAAATTTAGATTTTTCTTTGTAAAAACTAATAATTTTTTATATTAATTACAATATAATTAATATATTATTATATTGGGTTAGGATAAAGTCCTTTTACAAGTTAGTAAAAAGACTTTTTTAATAACTTATATATTCTATTTTTTTAAAAATTGGTAATTATACTACTTGATAGAACAACATTTCAGCTTTAAGAATCTGTATTTTTAATTGCGATATGAGCATTTTTAACGAAATTACGGGCAATACAGTCAGAATGTTCTTTTATCCTACTTAATCCGCGAGTAATTCGGGAACAAAAAAATCATAGAAATATTAAAAAAAAATGATTTTGTAGGGAAAGTTTCAAGCTTTCGCGATAGATAATCAAAAATGCACTCAAATTTTTTTGGGTACGCTACAAATCTACAAAGTGAAAAAAAATTTTTTTCATTTTTTTCATAGTTTTCTGTATATAAAAATTACAAAACACATAACTTCAAAAAATATAATAACCATTCAAAATATTTCAAGTTTTAAAACCCTTTTTTAAAATTTTAATTTTGATCATTTTTAACGAAGATATTGAAGAGAAAAAGTCTTTTTATCAACTTGTAAAAAACGTTTTTCCTATCCTAATATAATTTAAATTAAATAAAAAAATAATTAAAATAAATAATAAAAATAAAAAATTAAATAATTTAAATAAAATAATTTAATAACTTTAAATCATTTATTAAATTATTTATTTAACAACTTTAATCGGAACATGATCTTTTCATTTCATATCAAATAAATCTTTTAATATTTGCGGCATGTCTATCAATGAGGCATTCTCGGTTTTCTCTGTAGAGAGAAACCTGAGAGAAGCTATGCCTTTTTCCTTCGAAATCGCCCGTACATTAACGATAGTACATCCATTTTCAATTTAGGAATTACGTAACTACAATACATTTTCTGATACTATCAATAAAACTATCGTATCATCGAAGATGTCTGATTCGTCTCTATACTAAATCCTCAGGATTATCATAGAAGCATGCCGATCCATAGAAGGGATAGTTTAAGGGATGGATCCTAAACAAAATTTTAATTTTAATTTCGCATTTCCTACATACGTAAATAAAAGTTGTTGAATTTTAATAAACAAAATTGAAAATTCAAACAAATTAATTTAGTGAATTTTATTTTATAATATTTATCTTATAATATCTTATAAAATTACGAAGTTATATTTCTTTATGCAAATTTTCAGCCTGTTTTTATGAAATATAATTGCGAGTATGTATCAAAGTCTCTATAATTATTAGTAATTATAGAGACTTTTAGTAATTTCAATCTTTTCTAAATATATATTGTCAATTTAAGATATAATTTAGTAAAAACGAGCTATAGAAGCCTTCCACCATCCACCAATTGTATTTCACTAATGAAATTTATTGCAATAACTTTTTAAATATTATTCTTTATTGTTTTATTAATACAATAATATTATTCTTTATACAATTTAATATTATAATTATAATAATTATTTATAATATACCATTATAAAAATTATACCATAAAAAATATAATAAAAATAATAATATAAGAGGATTAACAAATTTAGTAATGCGGAATTATATGATAACGACGAAAATATATACAATACAAATTGATCATTCTTGTAGCCGAACCATGTTATGTGGATATATGTAAAATTATGTAATTTGTAATTTTCTTAATACACTTAACTCTCTAATTATTTATTGTAATTAGATACTTTAATTTAACTCTTATTTATCTTGATAACTTTAATTACTGTGGATTTTATAGACATGCACCTTTTCCATTAGATGGAAAGAGACAGTAAATCTAGAAATCAGTAAATATTGTATCTTCTATTCTTTATAGTATCGAACGACACGCATACTCAAAATGACAATGAGAAATGATCAGCAATTTTAAATATATCATGCAGTGATCTTTTAACCGATTATAATTGACGAAATCTTACAAAAATGGTAAGACGGATGCGAGCTATGTATTGGAGGAAGAATGGCAATATTTCCTTTCATTCATAAGTATAATACTTAATGAATTTTGAAATGTAGTAATAAAGCATAATTACTGCCATTTCTATTTCATACATTGATGACACAGGTCAAGTCTACATGTCGGCTTATAATCGTCTTTAAAGTGGGACATTGTATAACTTAGAGACGTCTCCAAGTCGTCTAAAGTCTAAAGACTTACGGACGTCCATTTTTCAGACATCTAGAAGCTAATAGTCGACTTAGAGTCGACTTATACTCGTATTCATAGTATTCAAGTCTTATATTTAAGGCTTCCTTAAATTTATCTTTAGATAATCTATGAATTATTTTATTGGCTGCTGAGCATTTAAAAAATAAATTTAAAGAAACCTTAAGTACAAGGTCTGACTATGAATACGGGCATTAAAGTTGACTTTGTGCTGTTAGGATTGTTAATCATTATTTAATTTTTCAGTTATTAAATTAATTTAAGACTATTACTGCACACACTATTACTGCAAATTATTCTATGTTTCAAAAATTTTTTAAACTTACATATAATATCGATCATGATCGATCATTCAATAAAATAACTGTTACGAATTATTTAAAGTAAAAAATATAAAAATAAGTTTCAGAAACTTCTTTAAAACATTAAATAAGAAATTAGTCAGAAGTATTGTTATTTAAAATAATAAATACATGGCTGTGTTCCAAAATTGTTTGTCAGCGCTGGCAGTATTATCAACACTGTTCCAAAAATCATCGTAGCAAGCTGTGGCAGTGTTGCGAGAGAGTAAAGACATTCATCACTAATTTTGTCATTTCTTGCAGTAGCTGTTGCGGCTGAAGAAGTGAGGCAGCTACAGTGTCCAAGATGGCGAGTATTGTTCCAATTTGAAATATGTATTCGTACCAATTGCATGCTAAAATTGAAACGCTGTTAGTAGCATGTTTTTATGACGACATACCTGTAGTGCTGGCAATCAATTTTGGAACATATCCTAAATAACTTTTTACTTTTGGAAATAACTATTTCTCCTATGGATAGTCGACAAGCTTCTATTCTGAGGATTTAGTACAGAGACGAATCACATTTTTTTTCGACAATACGATTTTATCGATAATGTCAGAAAATGTATGTAGTCCCAAGCTTCGCTTAACTCTAAAATCAAAGTTGGTCTTATAGGCAATCGAGTCTTAGAGACTTAAGTTGTAGACATAAGTAACACACAAGTTTTGGCATATGACATATGATTTATTGCCGTCTCTTAAGACCATTCTACACAAACTTGCATAGCCGCATAAACATAAGTTTGTATGGAATAATCTTTAAAGTACGCCAATAAGTTGTACGTTATACATGAAAGTTTGTGTGTTATTACGTCTACAATTTAAAGTCTAAGTAAAAAAACACAATAGGCATCAGGGAATAACAAGCTATCCAATCAGAGAGTTCTGAGATATAATAACGAATTTACATATCAAAGCTCTAATTGGACACTTATTATTCCCTGTTGCCTGTGCCTATTGTGTTTAAGTCTTAAGTGTTACGACAATTCTTGTACTTAGACTCTAACTGGACCGAAATTCGTGGACATAGCGAAAAATATAATCAAAAAATCATGGATGTTACCGACCGGATCATGGACATTGGCTACGTAGTTCAATGTTCACATTTTGTGAACATAGAGGCGTTTCAAAATAAAGCAACAGTTAAATCCTGGGTATGGCCGCTCTCAGACTTCTCTCTTAGTACTAAACGCACTTATTGCATTCCGTTGATGTCTGATTGGACGAAATTTCATCCCCATCTTCCCCACCCTATTATGCGCAATGTTTCTCTTTAGAATTTCACCATGTGTAAATCATTACAAGAATACCGGTTTGTAATCTCACTTGTAATTTTTTCGGTATAATTACTACAAATACTTCAACGCGTTATTATTTATATATTAAATTTATGATCATAAAAGTATTGCCGCGTATCAAAATGGAGACCAATCATTTTGATACTATTGACGAAAGGTATAAATATTTTTTAGAAATGCAGCTTTGTGTTTGTCATTTAATACTGTAAATATATATTTCTTTTCTTGATAATAAAAAAACATTCATGTTGCAGTGCAAATGAGAATGTAATAGGAGCCGAGACTGTTGATGTAGTTTTGGAAGAAGCTGAAATAGTGGATTGTGATGCTGATGAACAACAGGATGATGACATTCAATATCACCTGTATGCAATAAATAGACGTAATAATACAGTAGCATACAAAGTTATGCAGGTCAGCAACGATAATAGAGAGGATAACGAAATTTCGATAGCTACTCCTGTGAATAATACTGTCCAAGTTTTGACTGCACCATTAAATGGACAATTATACGTACTCAGTAATAGCAATGACATTGTAACAACAGAATCCACTAAAGCAGTTGTACCTAGTGTAGCTAAACTGCATATAGAAGGAACACAGAATATTATAACCACTGTAAAGAAGGTAAATCATTTAATATTATTGATACATTTTACATTATCATTATTTTGTGTTTAGAAAGATAATTATATTTAGAGGGATGAAAGACGAAGGGTAACACATAACGAAGTTGAAAGACGTAGAAGGGATAAAATTAGCAGTTGGATTTCTAAGTTAGCAAAACTCTTAGCAGATTGTGAGCAGTACATGGATGAAGAAGATACAAAACCGAATTTAGAAACACTAGTAAGATATTTGTAAATTCTTATTAAATAAATAGAAAGTTTGTTAGTTATAAATCAATATAAGAAGGACAATGGCTAAAGATGCGAATAAATTATTTACTATTACTTAATTTATTTTCTTTAATTTTTATTCGTTCTTGACTGTTGTCCTTGTAAATTTTTAATCTTCAACTGTCGTGAGTCCATTGAAACTTTATCAAATTTTTTAATATCAAAGTCCATTAATAGTGAGGATCAATGCTAATTTTTAGTTTTTATTACTAATTTTAATTAAAAATGGAGTAAAAGAATAAGTGAGAGTTTAAACATCAAAAAGATATAATAAAAAGGTTTACACAATTATTGGTTTCTTCATGACATCGGTTAAGGGTTGTATCTATGTTCGTTTTTATCATTTTTGACTTTATGTTATAACTTACATTATTTATTAATCATAATATTAATTTATAGAGCAAAGGAGGTATTCTAGCACGAGCTTATGAATATATTATGGAATTAAAAGATGCTCCGGACAAATTAACCCTTAGCTTGAATGAAAATGTGCTGTTAATGGAAGAAATTGACCAACTGCAGCAAGTCGTAACTGAATTAAGAGACGAAAATTCACAATTGAAAAACCAAGTTTCAAAACACGAAGATATAACTATACTCGGTACTTAAATCTTTATAAGGATTATACATCTTTATAAATGATTTCCTGTTCATTTATGTTATCTGATATAAATGAATATCTTTATGATAAGATGGAATAAGAACACACACATGGACAAGTATAATAGTTATAAAATGTTTATTTACATATTTGTAACTCAGCATATGTATATACAGTGTGTTCCAAAATACATGATTTAAAATACTATAGCAAGAAAGTTTCGGAAAAGTTAAATAAAAAGTTATTTATGAATTTTTATTTTAAATAATAAGTTTTGAGATACAAGAATTTAGATATGACCGATTATAAATTATCTATGTATATTAATAGGTGCTGAAAGGCGCGTTCATCAAAGGCCAATGTTCATTAATACTATTACAAGTGTAATTCATGGACAGATCATCTAAATGTAATTGGCCATATTTAAATTCTCATCCCAAAAATTATTGCTTAAAATAAAAATTTATGAATAACTTTTTTACTTAATTTTTCAAGAACTTTCTTGCTATAGTATTTTGTATCGCGAAATTTTGAAACATCCTGTGTGTAATATGCGCGCGCGCGCGCGCGCGCGCGTTTGTGTGTGTATGTGAGTGAATGAGTGAGTGAGTGAGTGTGTGTGTTAGTATGTTTGTTTGTTTGTTTTTGTATTTGGAGAACAATGACAATCATTGTATAACATTCTATTGTACATATTGTAAACAATAATTAGCGAACAATTAATTTCGCAATGACGAGTCATCGTCAAGATGATTAAATTAAAGAAATATACAAATATACAAAATGATATCACCGTTTAATCAGTAATCAACTATATGAACGTCAGATATATTGCTTAAATAGTAAGTTTCGCTTAATTACTACAAAACGTGAAGTTATTTCTTCTAACAAGAAAGTAGGTCTACAATATTTACACTTACAAAATACGTCTATTATATTTACAGAAAACAGCGATATCATGCGTTATCTGTGCTTTTCCTCTTGTATCATTAGTGTAGCGCGAGCTCGCTACGGAAAAAATAGAAAAAAATTATCTGTTTACTTCATCGTCAAAGTGTACGCACACGGTTATCAATATCAAATCTCAGAGAAAATATAAACACGTTTTTAAACACGTTATATGTACGTAACTGTCTAAATTATAACAATAACGCTTAGTTTAATACTTATTGCTTTGAAGCGTTTTTTCTCAAGTTTTGTGCAGATTCTGTTTGTATGACAGTTTCTGAAAAAAGGGGGAAGGAAGATAGTATTCTTCGAAATATAAATTAATCGGTGTTGATATTACATTAAATATTATATGTAATTCACCTGTCAATGAGACACTTGTATATGAGAGCTTGTGAGTGCAAGATACGAATGTTCACGAATTTCGATTACTTCTCCGTCGTGACAGTGCAAGTATAGCTTTGTGAATTGTTTGTGAAAAGTGCTTGTGCATTACACAATATCATGTCCCGTAGACAACACAAGTGTCGTCAAAAGATGCCTGTAAAACTTATTGAGAAGGCATTTCTCTGAAGGATGTCTCTTAAACCTGCGTGTTGCTCAGGATCTTTCCGTTACTTATTTTTAACAAATTACTCTTCCTTATATTTATGTTAGCCATTAAAGCATTTCATGTATTAGCGATATTTATTGAAAAAATCACATTCGAACTAATGAGTCATTTCTTCTATAAAAATAACTCTGAAATGAGTTGGGTCCAGCAACAAATTGCGCCTCTCCTAAGTCTAAACATCAACAGGCTAATGATCTCTCTGTACAGTAGGAATCTTGATCCATTCTTTTATCATTATATTGTCCTCGTCATATATAGTAATTTACGTTGTCGGGAAATAAGTAAAAATATACTTTTCTGTGTTATACAAAACGTAAGTTTTGTAACCGCCTCGCTCATACTTGTGTTATATCCCTTTAGACACAAATATCAAAAAGACAGAATAATCGCATTTGTTCCTTGTATGTAGAGAGAAAATCGAAAACACACTCTTTTTTTATTACAGACCGGATCAAACAATTCTAATGAACGAAGACGTATTTCTTTAAACTTATTGGCAGTGTTGGAAACTTTCAGAATCCGTGATTAAGTCGCTAAAATTGCAAGATCGAACATTTTGTCAAGGGATCGCATAGATAATATGCATAATTAACACACAGAGGTTCTGCTGGCTGACAGATTTGCTCGTTGCTAGGTCATGTATCTTTCATACAAGAGTAGAAAAAATTGAGAGAGATTCCCTCGAATATCTCCTTTTTCCTCTTTCTTCTTTCTTTCATCTTTTTTTTCTTTTAAAATCTTGGCGCTTTATATCGCAGTTGAATAAAGAGGCGTGATATGCGAATACTTACATACCTTGACTAATCACTTTTTTCGTTTGTATGAATAATACTGCTACTATGTTGTTCCACGAAAACATAAACTTTATTTTTCTTTCCTTTGCTCTTGCGTTTCATCTTCTCGTTTTTTCCTTGTCCTTTCGCCGTTCGCAATTTCGTATAAACTACTACAAATATTACCATGACGCGAAATAACGAACATTAGTTAGGCAGTAAGAGTTACCTTGTATAGCTCGCTGAAGATTTTCTCTACAAAATACATCTATATTTTCGTTGAGAGAAAAGTGGTATCGCTGAATTTCCTCGCAAAATGAATCAATATGAATTTCGTGATCGAACTTGCTAACACTTGCGCAGAACGTGTTATTACAAACGATTCTCGTTGTACATAAAATTGGTCGAAAAAATTATTCTCAAAATAGTCAAATAATTTAGACGAAGGCGAAGCTCGTTTAATTCAATTCAAATATTTTCTGATCGCTCCTGTCGCATTTCTCTCTCAAGATTACAACCTCAAGATTTCCTCTTGAGGAAGCATCTCGGTCGTCAGTCTTTCGGTATCATAAAAAATACAGCCGTGTGACGTACCATGCCAGCTTTACCACCCAAAAAGCGATTGCGTGTGTAACAATACATCATATATTATGTATATCATGTTTTCATCGGCATTTATCAAGAATTCGCGATGAAGAATGACTAGTACTTTCTCTTTAGTACTTCATAAGCCCGCTATTGACTTTATGTTATATTTACTATCTACTTCTCTAAATGTCTCTCTACTTTTCTAATCTACCCTCATGTCCGCTACTATTAATGTAAAGTTTTTAACGTCAAATATCTACAAGATCGATTATACATCTTTCTCAGTTCGTAACAAATATTTTTCTTCTCCGAAACGTTCTGTCTTTAGACAGTGTAATCTCAAACTAAGCACCGCCATATACGTAACGTCGAAGATGATCGAACATTGCTTTAAGACCTAAGAATTAGAGGAGCACCGATTCGAAGACTCACAAAATCCTGGTTAGGCATAACGAGCGACGGCCCGCACGAGTGATGGCCCGCAAATATTTAAATTGGACGATGACATTTGATAGAGACAAACGTCTGTTTTCGTGAGAGAGGCAGTAAACGAAAAATCATTGAAAGTTTCTTCTATTTTCCTCTCCACGGACAATGATCAAGATCGGTTGATAGCGATTATTTTCCCTGCCTTAGAAGAAGATTCGAGGTATACTTCATAGGACAAAAGCCATTTATGAATTAACACCTCCGTGCCGTATATATGACGAGGCGCTGTTCATCCTCGGTCCTAGCGATCAGTGGTTCGTTCATCGATCCACGAAGAATAATTTCCACGATTTAACCGGTTGCAAAGTGAGCAGTATTATTCTGATTGGAATATCAGTTAACAAAGATATTCTCGAGTGTCTGCTCACAAAAGGTTCTTAAGTTTTGAAGCAACCATATCGAGATGTCTCGCGCCAGGATTTCGATAGGACGATGCAGCGTCATTAGCTGCAGCTTACAGGTCAATATACGGTACGAAGGTAGGCCTGTCTCAGGACGGTTGAAGCCGCGCGCTTTTCTTACTGCTACCAAACATGAACCATGTCCCAACTTTCCGTCCCAACGAATTAGTGGTGCCTTGACCACCGACCATTGTCGTGGGCATCTCGTACGCGGACTCCCTCTTATATGTTTTATCTGTAACATCATTAAATTAATATATAAGATAAAATAAATCGATATCGAATAAATCAAATTAAATCGATCAAAATCGGATACAAATGAATACAAAATAAAATGCGAGATATTACAATGAAAAATATACCAAAGAAAAGATAAAAATAAAATCCTGACTGAGGTATATTTTTCACAATAAATTCTTTATAGAATTAATTTAGGGGAAATTATTTCATAGGAATGTTTCGGCCTTTATTTATATTATTAGCGTCTCGGAGCGATTGCGATTAATATCCGAACGTTTCGGCGCACAGTGATTATATTTGACAAGTAACACTACCCAAGTGCCGGTTTCCCTGAGACTGTGCATACATGTACATTGAAAAATATCTGACATGTATTCTTTTATATTTGCTCAAAAATTTTAAGGATAGAAAACGCCTGAATGTATATAGGGGTGAATTCCAGTATTTGACGAAGTATTCGTACATTTGTTACAGAATGGGGGAATATACGGTGATTTTCGAAGTTGCTGAAATGCCAAATCTGCTCTCAATTTTTGAGAATTCAATATGGTGGAACCAATATGACCGATTTGATTTTTTTTAAACAAGACAATAAGACATTGTTGCTCTCTGCCAAACTCGGGAATAAAAAAAAAAATGTTTTATATTCAATATAAAGTGTAAGCATCTAATAATAATAATAATATTTATAATAATAATTTTATCTCCAGTTTCTTTATATGACAACAGAGATGATAACTGCAGAGAAAAAATTGTAATTTTTCTGCAATATCTAGGATATTATAGCTTTACAAGTATGCACATTTATATAATAAAAAAATCATGACTTTAATAATGGATAAGCCAAATATTTATGTTAATAACAGCAAATTTATAATTGCAATTCGATAATATCAGCGTTCTTCAATTACTCCGGATCCTTCAGGCCCTTTTTATACCGCCGAAAATTTGCCCGGAGATAATTTTTAATAGTATCTTTAATAGTGTCAGTATCCCTTCATAAGGGCATTTTCTGTTCTTAAAACGGCAGATATAAAAAAAATACTTGTCAGATATTTGTCAATATACTACTTTCAATATACTACTTTTCAATATACTACATGTATGCACAGTTTCAGATAAAAATCGACGTATGGCACTTGAGTGTTATTTGTGAGATAAATCTCTAAAAATCTATATTGTATTCATAACATTTAATTTTCATCGATATTGGCGTTTTCTTTCATATTTATGTATATCATTTATATGGTCATACTTATTCTTAAAAATAAAATTGTATTTTATTAATATGATTATAGATAATGTCACAGTGGCAAATATTTACTGCGAGGTTTGATCGGTGGCCTGTTCTGCTGTCTGCTGGCGGCAAGCCTGGCAAGTTGCCTAGCTGCTGCTGGAAACTCCAATCCATCGTTTCTATCCTGAGCTACTAGCCTTCGTTCCTCAGCCATTGCTGCTAGCCATCGCCGTTTCTCTTCTGCTGTGCGGCAACAAAAAAGTAACCATTTGTCTCGGACGCAGCTGTATACCTTCAGGCAATGTCTCACTGTTACTCCCGATTGAAGGTCTACGAAGAAAATCAATTATTAATTTGATATATCTTCATTATAAATGATCGTTATTATTTATACATCGTATATATTCTACCGATTCTATTTTAATTATTTAATAACTACTTTGCTATGATGAGTAATATACAAAATGAACAAAAAATAATAAAATTATATAAAATTGTAAAATTTATAAATTATTACTTCATTATCGTAAATTACTTTCTTTCGTATCGTATAACAATTTAAATTATAGAAATGTCATTAACAGCATTACCTTTTCCATCAGGCACGTCAATGACTTCGCTAGTGTCGAGATAGATACGACCTTTGTAGACGTAAGTATTACGCTTAAGAATGTCCTTCTTGCAATAGACCAGTTGATGATCGAAAAGGAATAACGTAATATTGTTCGTCCACATACCGGTCTTCACTCTCATCGCCTCACCTTGATAAATAAGTTGCGACGAAACTTCTATGAGATCCTCACCCTGCGACCAATTGTCATCGATATTAAATATATTTCTCAATAAATTTTTTTTAATTAACCATTTTAAATAAAGCATTATTCAAATAAAATCGATAGCCAAAATGTAAATTTTAAAGACAATTTTATTTGCAATTATGAAAAATGACATACCTCCCAACCTTCTACGCGCAATTGCCATGCGGCTAACTTTTCCAAACTTTCCATCCGCCTTTTTCTCTCGTTGATCAATACAGCGACGTCTCTCATCGCTTCCAAGGCCTCCTGGATCTTGTGATAATCCGGATGATCGGTCTTCGTATATTTCAGCAGCTCCGCCAATTGAAGAGGATATTTGCATATTCGTTGGATGGGAGTTAATAAATATCCATCCAAGGGGATTTCTATGAGGCCCCTCATCAATCGACAAGCTTCGAAAAATTTGCTATAACGATTGTGTTGATAAAGCTCTTGCAGCGTTGCCGTGGCCATTGGGTGGCTGTTGCAGTATTCGGAATACATGCGAAAACCCGCCCTCTGAAAGAATCAATAGTACCTCCTTTTTCTTTAACTTTATCTAAAGGTATATAAACAGAATTCTTTCTAACGTCTCTCTAACTTTATATATATAGTCTAAAATATATATAGAAAATTAATATAAATCTAAGAAAATTAATATAATGAACACACTTACAGACGTATCAATTAATTTATTATTCATATAGATGAAATTATCAACAAAAAAGAAAATTCAATATAAATTTGATAATGCTAACATGATTGAGGAAGCATTCGCCAACGCAGCTTTTGTACGGCGCGTTCCAGTCGATGCGATCTTCGAGGTCCTTCAGGAATTCGGACTGAAAGTCTAGGAGCTCTTCGAGATTAATGAAGATCGTCTCGATTTGCTCCTCAGTAAACATGTCCGTTCGCCTGCGGCATTCCGCGATGTAACCCTCAGCCACATCGCGCAGAACCTTGACGAAATCGCGCTCAGTCTGAACAAGCTCGCGGACTACGCTAGTTCTCACTTGCTCGTTTGAGAGTAGGGAGATGCTTGTTCGTCTTCTGAGCTGAGTACCCGAGGATCCTCCTGAAGCCATCGCAGCCAAACAATCCTCTACCGTGTCCTCTTGGCTCACGCGCAACTTTACAAATAAATTTATTTCACTGAGTTTGTTTATTATATATACGTTTAATTTAATTTAATTACGTAACTTACTAAAAATTCGATAACTAAAATAATTATAAATAACAAATAAATAATTATGATATTATTTCTCGAGATAATTCTAATGGAGATAAAGATGGCATGTATAATTCGTTGATAAATTGTTATTAATATGATAATTATATTGTATACATATTAATTATTATATTAAACATTTTATGTATTATAAATAATATTTATTATTATTATAAAAATCGTATGGATTTATTTAAGAGTATTTACCCTGACAAAAGCGGCAGGAAACCATCCATACTCTCCTCTGCAGCTACCCCACCACCAATCCCTGTCCAGGGTATCGAGAACATCGATGACATCTCCAGCACGAAAAGCCAACTCTTCCGACTCCATTGCTACATGATCCCAAACGGCTTCGGCTAACATGACAATCTCCTCATCCATCGTTTGCTCGAATGATTTTTTTTTATCCGTCAAGGAAGCGATCGAGGATTCGGAATCAGACATCATTTCATCGTCTTCTGATGTTCCGGCTCTTCCATCCTGCTCGTCCTCTGATAGCACGTTGCCACTGGGTAATCTCGCGCCTATTTTTTTTAAGAATAGAATTTTGTTGTAATAGAAATAAATAAACAATGTGAGTACATATTCTTAAACAGATTGCCCAAATATTGACTCAAATTTTAAACAAAACGTAGTTGAAGAAATAAAAATGGAAATTAATCGGTACATATATCGATAATATATTGTTATCTTTTTAATAAATATATTACAACTTATTTGCAAAATTACAAAGAGGATATTAAAAATAAAAAATAAAATAAACAAAACAAAATTAACCTTTTCAAAGAAATATCTTTTCATTTAATTCTTTAATATAAATGTTTTGTCTGAACAAAACAATCGATTCCTACAAAGCGTCCTATAACGTGAACGACATTTCGCTCCGTTTACGCTCGTCGAAGGAATCCCTCTGGAAGTTATTGGGACAACAAGTACGTCAGCCCCCGGGCCAAAAACCGTCCATTGTGCAGCTCTCGGCGTGAGCGGAAAAAGAATGAAACAGTAATTTTCATGAGATTCCTCGAGAGAAGGTAACCAAGCCCGCCGGAGTATCTCTCTTAAGTATTCAGTTAACTGCGTACATGCGAATTGATCGCACCCTCGGGAAGTCGCATCTCTCGCGGGAAGGAGAGCTACGAACGTGCAAGAAAATGCTTTTACTAGATTCTCCGGCAAACCGGGTTCCTTATTATTATAATGCAAAACAGAAACGTTTCCACACGAAGCAACGTTCTTATAGGGATGAAACTTAGTATGATTATTACAATAGGGACATCCCATTCCTTACTCTCGCACAATTAGCTTTCCTTCTCTTTTCTTTCTCTTTATTAAGAGAGTGCATTCAACGGCAACACGATGTGAATGTTTCAACAATATCTTTACGAGGAATGCATGCTGAATACTCTTCAAGGTGATGTCTAGAGAGAAACTGGTGATCTCTGTGATATACAGTGCACTAGATGTCATCGAGGTTTTTCTACTGGCGTGTAAACTCTGTCCACCCAGCAAACGCGTTCTGACAGAATCCCTCCAACAATTCCGATACCGCATGAAAATATCTTTTTGAATTATTTATTCAATAAAAATGATTAAAAAGAATCTTAGTGAATCTTTTTGTATCATTCTCTTACATTTTTCTTTCCGTCTCAATTTTTTAATATTACATTAATATAATTATATAATGTATTTTTTAAAAATCTAGAACGATCTACAATTAATTTGAAAATAATATTTCGAATGATATGAGTAATTCTTCTCGATAGAGATGATTCAAGAAGAGAACGTGCCATTTCTCGTATTTTACAGACGATAAGAGAACAGTCTACGCGCGTGCTTGGTAGACAAGACGAGAGGAACGTGATCTACGTCAGAGAGCTCGAAGTCTATCTTAAGTTAAAAGGTCAAGTATGATGTTTACCTGCGGTTTTGACGCGCATTAACGGCGAAAGCTGATTGATTCCCAGTGGCTGGCTAAGCGATCGCCTCAAATTTGTCCGAGAACTCCTCCCTTTCGCGTTACTAAAGACCGCGAGAAAAAGAGACAATATTAATTTGACATTAATTCGTTTTTATACCGCGTTAACGTGCGGCGTATCGAGCGAAGGGATCGACAAAAGCGTGTACTCAGGTATTAAGCATATCGGTACAACATTCAGCAACAGATTACAGTATAGGTAGGTATAATATGTATATGTATAATATATATAGAGTACAACACACGACAAGAGGTATGTATATATACATATGTATATATACGTATGTTACGCGTGGCACAGATCAACTTTTTACTGGAGGAAAGATTAAAAGAAGGTGATTTGTTATAATACCCGTCTACCTACCACTGGTCTCCCTCGATTTACTGGAAAGGTTCGAGAACAAAGAATTTTAAGTTTTCCCAAGTTGTCACTTGTTTTTCGGGGGTTGTTGATTCGAGATGTGGGAATCGCAATATAAGTGTCGCGTTTGTGAGAGGAAGTCAGAATTGTTATTGATTCGAAAATAAAAAAGCAGCGAGCGAGCGAGCGAGCGCGTCAGGCTACAGTAGGTATGGCCGTGCGGCTAAAAAGAGCGGAATTAACAAGCGATATATCTTTTTACTTCGTATGTTTCTCTTTTCTTTTAATGCCTCCTTGACACTGCTAGCTTTTTCACACTTGCAGAGTGCGAAAGATTATGCTCGCCTCGATTCTGGAAACCCAAGGAAACGTTGCTTGGATCTTAAATATTTATTTTAATTATACATCTGTCAAATACAATAGAATATGACAACTTTGAGCGTAAAACCAAATATTCAATATTTTTAAAAGTTTTAATTTGATATTTTAAAAAATTATAATAAAAGGTGTGTAAAATAATAATATTATAAGATAATATTATACTATAATATTATTATAGAAGAAAGTCTCTATCAATTACAATTCAATTTTTTAAAAAATCTTGTAATTTTTTTAGATAAAACACATTTTAAAAAGTAGCATATATTTTGATTAAATCTATTGTCGAATATTTTATATATTTTATGCGTTAAACAAGACACTCATACATTTTAAAGGTTTTAGTTTGAGATATTTGGAAAAAAATCACATAAAAGAGAAAATGTAAGATAATAATATTGTAAGATAATAATCTAAAAAAGACTTTCTTTCAATTCTAGTTCCATTTTTTTAATTTCGTAATTTGTTAGATAAAATATATTAAGAACAGTAATATACTTCATAATTAAATCATGTATTTATCGAATGTAACAATTTTACACATAAAAATATGCATTTATAAATATTTTTAAATGGTTCGATTTGAGATATTTGAAGGAATTATATAATGAAAAATAGGATAATAATACGATATAGGATAATTATACGATATTATGAGAAGAAAACTTCTCTCTCAGTTATAATTCTCTGTTCAGCAAATCTTTTAGATAGAATACATTAAGAAAGTAGCTTTGAGAATAATAAGAAAGATCATTAAAGCTTTTAATAGGGTTTACCTTATTCAAACTCCTTTTCTCATTATTAAAAATCGCTTGAATAGCTTCGATTTTATATCTATCTAAAAAGAAAAAAAGTTCTTTATATTTATATATTTTTCTTTTGTTAAAACTTTTCAAGAGGCTTCTCTAATCAACTGTACTTCAGTTCAAGGATCCAAACGCAACGGTTGCCTGGGTTTCCCCAGCCTTCGCGAAGAGCCGATGTGATTCGCAAATGGCGATGATTTAATGAGGCGTACGCGACAAGGGTTGCTTGAACACAAGCGCGATTATGATGATTAAACGCACCTTCTGAGCGTAACGATATCATGGGAGGAATGTCTCGGGCTGAGCCTTGGCGGTCTCGATTTGATCGGTGATGGAGTTGACAGCATCCTGCGATAATTATGAACGTATCCAGATCTGGTGTCCCATTGGAGCAATCTCTGCCCTCCTAAATCGCTATTCGTGCGACGCACATGATTATGCCGCGACGCACGATTCTGCAGATCCGCCTGGAACAGTCGTGCGATTTTGATGAGGAACTGCAATTAATTTGTGTCACGCTGAACGCGCTTAATTCATCGCACCTCCAAGTGAAACGCGCAAATTCCCTATTTTCTCTGCAACTCGCAGATGGTTATAACGCAGGTCTACGTATCATGAACGTATTAAATTTATTGGAAATAACGAGAAATTTAATATGTTTCTTCACTATGTGCTATTTCAATGTATATTTAATTATAAGATACATAAATAAAGGTCCTTTTATGTTGCTTTTATCCGAAAGATATAAATCTCCTTTGTTCTTTTTTTCTTTTTTTATTTCTAATATAAAACTGTTTTTTTAAATTTCATACGAATTTTGCAATCTTTAGATATACAAAGAGAGATAACCATATTTAATCTACAGAATGTATCAAACCAGTATTACTCTTTTTTTAAAAATGAATTTGGAATTTGGGGAAAGAATTTTTATTACTAAAGCTATCTGAATTGTCTAAGAGTGGAATTTTAATTTTTTGGAACTGCTGAAAGGATGAGTCAAGTCTGAAATTTTAAATAGAAGCAGAATTCGAGGAAATTGTTGATTGGATCTTTTAAAAACAAATAACACTTGTTTAAAATTTTTTTGATATTACGAGAAAAATAAGGAAGTGTCATAGATTATGAATCATTTATCTAGACATAATTATTTAAATTTTAGATAGAGGAGTTTAAATTAAGTATACTTTTAGGATTAAACCTATGAGATTAAAAAAATTTTTTAAATACTTTTTCTTCCATTTTTATTTTAACTGAAACAAAAACATTAATAAAAAATAATATTATTTTTTGTTAAGAGTAAAAGGTATTAAAATATTTTTATTTAAAAATTTAAAAATTTCTTTGCAATAGATCTGTTCAATAATATTTTATTCACCTATGTTTAAATTAAAAATTTAGAATCTTTAGTTTTCTTATTTTCCACTTTATTTCTAAAAACATAAATACCATTACTCGATTCATCACATAAGATTTGATCTCTTACCGATCTTTGATTAAAATTTTAATTTGAACTCCCGATATTAATGTCTGAATGATTCATATTTGTGATATTTTTTTTCCTCATAAATCGTGAATCAAAAAAAAGTTTAAGCAAAAATTGTTTAATTTTAAAAAACCAATCCAATGTCTTATGCGATCTATGTTCCTATTTACTTTGTCAAACCTTGTTCAGAGCTTACTTCCGGTTAGTTTTTTCAATATCGCCGTTAGTTTAAATAGATAAATTGAAAATAAAATTTTTCTTCCTAACTTCAAACCATTATTCATTTCCGAGAAAAAACTAGGATAACCCGGTATATATGCCGCATCTATCAAAAATTTAATTTATTAAGTATTATTTACTATGTTTAAAGTAAATGAACTATATCAATAAAAACTTTGTACTGTCTACTATTATAAAAAAAATATTAGAAATATTTGAAATATCTGAAATATTTATATTTCGTATTAAAAAATGAACTTTTGTAAACCCTTGCATTTTTGCCGTATATCCCATAGGGTATACGACTATTCATAGAGGGAGGAGGAGTACGACTCATGAAAAATTTATAAATAATGCATATAAATAAGAACGTAAAATGACACAATAACTTATAAAATGCGTTTATAAAATTTTATTAAGGAATAAGAATGATAAATATATATGAAGTAATAAATAATACAATCTTCCCATGTATTACAAGTGTTATGACATGAGGTACATATTTCATACATTTATTGCATTTAGTGGACTGAATTCAATCTCTGCAATTATACTTTGGGCATAAATCTCGCCCGCTAAAAATGCTGTATATCCCAAATAGGTGGGATATACAAAACAACAAACAAGGAATACAAAAGCAAAGTACTTATATTTTGTTATACAACATGCTTTACTATTCCTTTACTCATGTATTACGAAATAACCACAAATAAGTCTTTTGCACGTCCTAGTAATCATTTTATGTAGATTATAATTTACATATGATAGTGTCACTTAACACAGTGAACAAATATCGATTCAACTTACAATAATTTCATTAATATTAACAATAAGAAATTGAAATCGTAACACTATTCTAATATAACATAAAGGCATGTAACAGAGTAGTTGCAGGAAAATTATCCCCATTCCTTCTATTTTTTCTGATTTCTGCGACGTAAATCTCAGCGCGGCGTATTTATTTTATATATGTGATCTGATATAGTCTGTATATAAAATATTTTTAATTTTCTAATGTGCTATTAATAATATTTTGGCTAGTTTCAGAATGAATTCTTCTTTAGCAGAAATATAGAGATTACTCTTTATTTTCTTTGCATTATATCTATACAAATACTTTGCATTATATCTATAATTTAGCTTCAAATATTAACTTATAAAAAATTTTTTGTCTGTTATTCTAAAAAAGAATAAAATAAAATGTTAAAAAAATAGGCCAAAATACGCAAAGATAAAAGATATATGATTAATTATACAATTCTAATTTGTCAATTTAAAATTAGCACGATATAATGGAACCAGTTTTGACCTAATTCAATCAGTCTTCATCAACCGCAATTGCATAAAATAACATTCAGTTGATTAAAATTAGTAAATACACAATTAAAAATTTTGAGATAAATAACATATATAACATATATGACATATAAGTAAAAACAATATTCAAGCTATAAATATAGTTCAAAAATAATGTCATGCAATATTATATGATGAAATAAAATACAATATTAGTTGTCGTTATGATTATAAAAATAAAATTAATTAAATTAATATAAAAAGAATATAATGTAATGATGGATGAAATTTGTCACTTCATCTCGTATAAACATTGTATCCATCTCTCTCTCTCTCTCTCTCTCTCTCTCTCTCTCTCTCTCTCTCTCTCTCTCTCTCTCTTTTTTTTCTTCTTATACAAATATTATCTTGGTGCAGTCGATATATGAAAAAGTCGAATAGATTAATAATTATTGTGATGTGACTGTTGTAATTGATAAAACTTCAAAGTAAATAAGATATTTGAGAAATTTCATATTAGTATGATTTTAAGTGATAATGTAACGTTATCAATACTTTGTAATTAAAATACTGCAAATATTCAAATTGTATTACAATAAACTTTAATTATAAGATTCATTGTGTTTTGTTATTTATTTGATTTTTCAAAGTTTAATCATGGAAAATCTTCCTTTTCCAATTTTCTTTATCCAATTATGCTTATATATCTGTAAGTTGAAAATTAACAATTATTTATTAATTAAGAAAAATTACTTATTAAGAAAAAAATTTATTCCAAATCTGTCAAAATATTAAAAAGATAATATAAATTTTAAGATGTATGCGAACATTTTTAATGGAAATTAGAAACAATATTACTCGTAAATATATATAAATTAATGATACTTTACTTTTTGTTCTCCGTCAATTGTCGACATTATGATATCTTCGATAGCATCAAAAGAACTTTTATACGGAATGTATAAAAGTTGACTTTTGTACGGAATGATTAATATACACACAACAATTGTATTTCATGCACGAAATATATTCAGGCAACAACAGCCTCGAACATAACAAGTTCTTTACACTGTGAGTTAAATTCTGGATGACCGCACGAGCTACTCCATATCGACTAATGACGAGCACGTTTCCTTTCTCGGTATCCTGGCGCTTGCGATATAAAAACGAATCACGAAATGGCGTAAGTGAATCTTTGCGAACGTGGTCAAATCGTAGAGATGACTAATTCTGGCTCTATCGAGGAAACAGTTACGACAATAATACCGATAAGCATGAATGAATATTATGTTATTATTAATGACTAATGTAAGTCATCGTTTATAGCTAAAAGAAATATATAAAAATAAATCGTCCGAGATTATATATATGATTTATATTAAAAATATATATTAAAAATAATGTCCAATGTCGCGCGTGTATGTCCTTGTCTCTCGCGAGAGATTAATTCGGAAAAGCGAATTATATTTGCTGCAAAAAATATTTGAACTTTTACGTATGGAATCAATTATATCTTTACGAAAAGAGTCATTTGTTAATTCGCAATCTAATCTTGATCCAAAAACAAACAATAAAGTTAAAAATGCGCACTTGATTTAATTAATATTGAATACTCTCTATTATATTCATCACGATTTGCATCAACTATTGGATCGGAACAAAAGTTCGTAGTGTTAAAAACTTCGAAATTCAAATAGCTCAAACAACTTCGTTAAAAATGAACAAAACTTAAATTTTTAAGTTAAAAGGATTTTAAAGCTTGAAATCTCTACTTTCGAAAAGTCACTATATTTTTTTGCGTTTCTGTGAGTGAAATAACTTTTATATAGAACTTTTATATAGAAAACTACGAGTACAAAATGGGAAATTTTCTTCTCGCTTTGTAGACCTGTGCCCCAAAAAAACTTGCGAATATTTTTTAATTTTCTAACATGACAACTTAAAGTTTTCTGTACAAAATCGTTCCTAAAATTTTTTGTTACTGACATATAATTAAGGAGTATAGCCACAACTCAAGTTTTAAGAGATAAAATAATGTATTTCGAATAAATATTCGAATAAATACGTTAAAACATAAAATTGTAAATTTTGTTGACTGAATTATTGCGCATTTCAAAAAATGAATTTTTAAAGTTAAAACTTGTCTTAATATCGAATGGTATAATTGCAAAATTATATTATTCCAAATTTTTTTTAAAAGCATAAGATATAATACAAATAAAATAACATTACAAACTTTTGTTCTAATCCAATATTTTTATGTTGTAAGAAATTAATGTATCGATATCATACTGTTTTGTGCAAACTGAAACATTTCCTGAAATAAAGATATGAAAGGAAATTAACATAACGATAAGAGAAAGGAATAAAAAGTTTACCTTGAACTTGTCAATCAGTATCTGGTTGATGAGCTCGGACTGGGGCCGCAATTTATCGGTAACTCGCCTGCGAAGAGCCGGAGGGCTGTCAGTGTCGTCGGGAATATCGTCCGTATCGTGGGACTCGGAGCTGTCACCACCCCCCATCACTCCACCGCCACTGCCCCCAGTCAACGCTCCACCAGATACCATCTATGTCATTCGTGCAAAATGTTTACTTCCCTCATGTGTCAACTCTTTTTCGTTGTCGAGTCGTGCAACACTTTGAAGACGCTACCTAAATCCGTCCGAAAGATGTTTGGAGGAAGTTTGAAAGATTAAGATGATCTCTCAGCCGCGTAAGATTCTCCTATTTCGTCTAAAAACCGTGCCAATCTTTCAAACACCCTTAGACGTCATTCGAACATTTCTTGAACTCGCAATTTATTTTTCGAAAGAACATAGAGAAAATCAGAAAATTTATCTTTTTCTCTTTCGTTTTTTTTTTATCTTCTTACCTCGATTTGTATACCGCTGTCTCCGCTGTTGCATTTGGCGTTTCGGGCAGCTTTGTTGCCCTTTTTTCTCTCTTTGCTGCTCCTCCAAACAAGTGGGCCAAACCTAAATATATTCGGTGAAGTCACACTTCTCCTCTCAAGATGATTGTTATTAAAGGATCAATCTTTTATCACTTTCTATGTCAAACATGTAATTGAATTTAATTTGATAGTTTATGTTTATATAATGGCTAAAATTTGGGATCTACATTAGATTTAGAATTAGAATAGAATTTTAGACTCAATATACATATTGTATTTTAAAAATAATTTCTTTTTCTTTAACATAAAATATATTTTAAAAAAGATAATTATTATTATATATATATATATGTGTGTAAAATATATTGATAATAATATACAGATTCCTATAGAGCCAACTTTTCATTCAAGTCACCTCTTCGACGAGATGAACAAATTATTCTTTATACCTATCATATTCAACGTTGTAATAACAATATCTTCATGATCTAAGTGTTGTACTCGATGTAAAAAGAGTAAGAAACCGTGATACGAACCGAAATTTCTGGTCATTGCTAGAATCGTCTTTGTGTTGGCTTTGACTGCTTTGCTCGGAGGTGGTTACGGAAGGCGATTCTGTGCCTTCCTCCTCATCCAATGGTCCGGTGCCATCATTGTCTTCCATGGGACATTCCTCGTTGCTCTCCTTACTGCCCTTCTTGTGAAACCTCAGCGAGAAGCTCTTACGGAATTTCTGCAGTACGCTCTCTTGCTGGCTCTGTGCGCGATGCGCAGCATTTTGATTTCCGCCGGTGGGCACATTGGCAACATTCAGGACGGAAGACGGTTCTTGCAACCTGGAATGACTGACCAGAGGGATCGTAGCTTCGGCCAAGGGATGTTCGGTCGTCACGTGGCCTGTCCTTGTTCCTTCGTCCTCTTCGTCGCCAGACCATTGTCGACTGTAAATAGAAATTTCCCCTTTATTCATTTTACAGGAAATTACATGAAATAAGAGGAACTGACAAGAATTTAAGGAGCTCCTAAGGCAAGAAATTCCTGATTTTCCATATCAAGAATTGCTTTAGAAATTATTGAATTCCTTTCGATTCCCGTCTATCTCTGTCGACTGGCTTAATTCTTATGAGACTCAGCAGGAATTAAAAAAGAATCTCTTGCATAATTGATCAAGATGCGAAGTGTCCGGGATTAAAGCGGATATAAAATGGATCTGACATAAATTATATAGATTCAATTCCTCCATTCAAGTTCTAAACGTATCACATAAAGCTAAAGTCAATATCTCTCCATCCCGTGTATGGCATATGACTACAAAAAAGCGAGAATGATAGAAAGGACGATCTACAAATTTTTGCATTATAAAAACGGAATCATTCAATAGCTCGCGGATTGAATGGTCTTTAAATCTCACAAGAATAAATTCTCTCTCTGTTTCCATTTATTTTTTTTTTCAAACGTTATGACTAACCGATGATCTTCGAAAATCAACAAGAGACAACTACGCGAACCACCTCTCATGTTTTGCATTATTCAATTTGCATTATTCTGTTCACTATGAGGAGGACGCGGAAAAGACGCAAGACTGATTAATTACGAACGTGCTTGGTCGAAGGCGCATAACGAGTGCATGCGCGATCGCAGTTAACAAAATGACTCCGAAACTGAACAGCGGAAATGCGTCTACGTTCGCGAAAGAGGAAACCGGTCGAAATATTTCGCAAACGTTTCACGAATAAAGTTGCATTAGCGTAAAATTCGTGAAATTATTTAGCGTGGCAATTTTGTTTCCATGCGTCGTCGGATCGCTCCCTACCGTGCTAACAAGTGCAGTATGAATTATTCGTCCTCGTGCTAAATACGTATAAATATATCCTATGTAATATGAGCATCCCTCCGTGATGCAACGTTTCGTTAAAATTATCATGGCCGCGCGAACGTTTATGATAGGGCGCGAGGAAACGTTTAATGATGTTAATTGTGCGCGCATTACGGTTATTAATCATAAAGGAAATATTTTTATATTAACTATTATTGTATAAATGTAAGAAAAATAGATACTGTATGCAAATAATAATTATTTGTTTCAAATATTTCAAAAGTTCACATATCTGTAAATCTATAATAAAAAAAGTTCATCACGAACATCCAATTTATCCGAAATATATTCTAAATCCTAATAAGAGTTTAAGGTTAATTAAAACAAATTTGATTTGCTTATTATATAAAGTTGCTTTTCCGATAAATTTTATATATATATTCTTTAAAAAAAATAATACATTTTTGTTTTAAATACATATTAATAAGTTTTCTAAAGTATAATAAGTATATTTTAAGATTATCAAAAAAATATTCTTTGTGAGGGAATTCTAAAGTCGTTTGCATTAGCAACTAAATCATAATTTTTGTATAACAATTACATTTTTTCTCTTTTACAGATTCGAAAATCTTTTTCTAGCAATAAAGTAAAAATTCTACACACGCACGCACACGCACACACGCACACACGCACACACGCGCGCGCACCACACGCGCGCGCACACACACACAGAAATGTCATTCTACTGTTAAGAAAAGTAATTACTCAATTTACTTTCTTTCTTTTAAGACTTCTTAATATAATGATATTGTTCTGTGTGCGTGTGTAAATTTTTTTAATTAATATTGGAGGCGTATAATCGCAATCGCTCGCTATTGTATTAATAAGATTATATTGTAATATTGTATTATAAGGTAATATTGTATTAATAAGGTTCTGCGTTAATTAATTATCATACTAAATATTCCATAAATTCCAAATCTTAATAACAAAAGTGCCAGATTTACCACAGAATTTATTGATAAAATCAAAATCGGAGATTTATTGGACAAATCGATGTATAGAAACAAAATGTATACACCACAAATGAATGAAGAACACCATATCCAATTAAAGTGAACGTCTAATAATATTTTTATTTGAGTTTTACAAGTTCTACTTCAAATAAACTACACGCCGATTATTTGTTTATATTTTGAACACGCCCGTTAATATTAATATTAAATTGCTTGTCAAATTCAATTTATGATATTACGTATTCCAGTTTCAGTTTAGAACTGTGTGTATACACTATTTCTAAGAAATTAAAAAATTTTTTAAAAATTTTATCAAATAATATAATTATATAATAATTTCTTATTGTTAGTAAGACTATAGAGACGTCTCAAATTATACATCTTTATAAAAATCAAATTTTATTAAAGTCTATTTAAATTTATCTAAAAAAATGATTTTGACGTCTATTTTTTTCCTAAATCTGGTTAATTGGAAATTTTTAATATTTAATCGCTAATCAGGCCTTGACATATTTTCTCATTAAAAAATTTTTTTGATCTGGCAAAGAATCTGGCAGATAAAAAAAATATTCATTAATTTGGAGACATCTTGTGACGCATCAAGAATAAAATAATTTGTTGTTACATTGAACATTCTTTCTGAGTAAAATCTCAGGAAAAGAACTGGTTATAGCTTTTTTAGGAGGGGTTTCAACAAGGAGGGAGTACAACAGACGGATGTAATCGTCTGAATCAGTTTAATCGGAATCACGCACCACATCATAAAGGATATTTGTCACGAGCGAGTGCCTCTCCTTTCGTATGCCAATCCCTTATCCTTCCTACGAATGTGATCCTCCGCACGCAAAGCCGCATCTCATGCTCTTCGACACTTTACCACATCATCATCACGAAATCGTGGCACATTACCGCGAAAATCACGTCGATATAAATGCAATCAAAACACTTAGAATTCCATCATTTTCAATAATCGATTACTATAATACAGAAAATGTGTGTGTAAAAAAAATTAATCGCCGAAAAATATCAAAAATATGACATTAATAAAATTCAAAATCTCTTCGCGACATTTTTCTTCTCCAAGCAAGAGAAGTGTTCTCGTGACGAAAATGATTAAAAATAAAAACCGTTTGCAATTTGTCCGTAGAAGTGTCGATGTGCCGCCACTCGACGAGAGAACTTTTGAAGGAAGTAGCATCTGGCAATTGAAAACAAGGCGGCAGCAGGAAGTGCAGCGGTCGACGTTCCACCGGCGACTGAGAGCTTTCATAGCATGAACGAGAAGTCTACGGACGTGTGCGTGTGACCGAGTACACTACACGCACGGCTTGTGAGCTGTGCTCGTGAACTCTTCCAGGAACCGATTTCGAAGGGTCGATCGCATCGGATAGCATCAGGTATAAGGCAAAGGGATATGCAGCATCTTATACCCCACATCTTATATACTTTCCTTTTCTTTAGCCCTTCTTTCTTCTTTCTCTCCTTTTCTTTTTCAGCGGTGACTACAAAAGGCACCATTTATCCGTATAGCGACAGAGGACCTTACCTTTCATGCTTTTCTCAATCGGCAGGACGCCTACATTCGGAGAACGCAACGTTTGATGTCTATGCAGATATATACATAGATCGTTAATTCTGTGAGGTTTGACGAAAATCGGAAAATCGATTCGACAACGAATATCATTGATATTTTGACGTTTTTATATTTCTGAAGTTATTTAAGAGAAACAAACAATTATAAGATAATTTGATGATGTAATATGAAGGAGAGAAAAGAAAGAAAAGAGAGAGAAAAGAAAGAAAAGAGAGAGAAAAACAATATAATAATAAATTAGTTAAAAATACAATGTAATAATAAATTATAAATAATAATATATATTTCTCTTTCTTTCTCTTTCATCTTCCTTTTTCCAAAATATTTCAAAATAATTTTTTGAAACTTCTCAACTCGATCAATTTTCCCATAAAATTTGCTACGTTATTCGCGCTTAGAAGTTTTTTAAATTTCTTATATTATAAGATTTCACTTTTCTCTTATTAAACGACACGGTAAATATTAAAACGTTAAAAAATAAATTAAAGTAGCTCTATTTACTCTCTTGTTACAATCGAGGTATATTACGTTAAGTAACGCTATGACGTCGGGAGTAACACGGGGTTAATCAAGGTCGGCACGAATGCAGAAGATCACGAAGGGTAAGGAAGTCTTTCAGCTCTGTTCACCTTATCAAAGCGGATGGCCCTTCTTAGCGGTAAAGTAGAGCCTGCACAGTGCTCTTCGCTAAGAGAGGGAGGATGTAGACGAGATAAAAAGCTGGCAGGGCGTTTTCTATACAACTTGGTAATTAGAACATCCGTCGATCACATGTGTGTATGTGGACCTGGACGTCCAAAGTCAATGCACCGCAGGTAGGTCATCCGAAATAACGCTCTTATTCGCGCCTCGATAAATATCTCTCTTTCTACGCGACATACAGACATAGCATACATATCATACACACAGACATACACATTCATGTAATGCAGAGATTGGTGAATTGCGAAAGAGAAGCTTGAAAAACATGGCACTGTGTGAGATCACGAGCGACCTTTGACGCGGCTTGCCTTTGTCCTCTATCAGCAGGACGTTTTTTTCTTTTAGATCATTTTTCGTTTCAGGAGAGTCCTCTTCTGACGTCTTTTTGCGGGAGGTCCCGCTACCGCAGAGACGAATGACAAGGAATGCAATTATCACGAGCGAACAATCAGCGCGATGAAACTGCACAAGACGTCGTCCTAGGTTTCCAATTTATCTCAAAGAGATCGAGCGGCGTTAAAAAAAAATGCATCTTATAATTATCTCCCTCTGGAATCGTGTCGATGTTTTTTTGTCGTACGCAACATTTCTAACTATGTTGACATGTTCCTGTCAGGTTTTTTATTTTTTTCTTTTCGATCTACATTCAATTCGCTGTTGCAGCTTTGACGTTACCGCATCATGGATGAAACTGCCATTCAATAAATGTTTTCAAAACGCGGTATTTTATCGACAATTGAATAACACAATGTCATCGATTTTTGTCCGCATGTACGAAATAGAATTTCGCTACTACTCGTCGTCAAATATTTGGTAAAAACGGACTTTCACTCGTTTACGAAAATAGCACATCATAAGATCTGGACACCAGATCTTCGATATCACACATATTAAATATTAAACGAGATTATATTTAAAGATTCTAATAATTAAAATTAATATTCACAAAAATGCTTTAAGCACACTTACATCCGAAATAAAATTAATTATCTATTCCTTAAACTACAATAAAATATACTTATATAAATAAACAATACACACACATACACACACACACGCGCGCGCGCACTCTCTCTCTCTCTCTCTCTCTCTCTCTC